ACATTACCAGAGGAGAAAATAATTATCAGTTTCACCTAGCTACAAACCCTACGACCTACAACAGAGACCTGTCTATAATATATGTTGGTGCAATAGTGGCGTGAAGTTATGGGAACTCTGATCACTTTTTAAAACTGGATTTAAAACTTACTTTATGATATGGAGCCCACTCCTGACACTATTAAGTGGCCAAGAACCAGAGACTGGACAGGTAATAGACCTAAGGGAAAATCTACTACTAATATGTTGCTTAAGGAACAAAACAATAAAATAACTCCATCATTCAACCCTCCTCAGAGATACTTTCTCCTTACAGTAGATGAGAATTGACACAGAGAACCACAACTGAACAATGAAGACAGTGAGAAACTTTGGAGCACTCAGCCATACGTGGGATGTGTTCCCTAAAGTTCACGGATCTGTGCCGAAGAGGAAGCAGAATGATTGCAAGAACCAGAGGCTGTTGGTGACTCCAAATAAAACCATGTTTTCCAAACACAGCAAGGCTGATACACATATGAACTCAGGGACTGTAGCAGCACACAAGAGACCTGCACAGGTTCCACACAGACAAAATCCCAGCTCTGAAAAGGGAAGTGATCACAAAGTTCCACCTCTAACCAAGAATATTCCTAATTGATACCTTCTGGGCAGAAAACCAGTTTTCTCCAATGGAGTGACAATGGATATGTCAACTACAGTCCAGGCTAGGCCCTATGCTGCAAGAGCATTTGGCCAATACAAAATGGACTCTATCTTTGTGTGTGTGTGTGTGTGTGTGTGTTTGTGTGTGCACTTTTGGGTTTTGCTTTTGGTATTTTTTGTATCATTGTATCTCTTTAGTTTATCTGATTTGATTTTTGTTGTTACTATTGTTCTTTGTTTTCAAGAGAGAGAAAAGACATGAAGTTGAGTTGGCAAGGGATCTGGAAGAAGCTGGAGAGGGGAACATATGATCAAAATGCATTGTATTATATATATTATATATATTCTTGAAAAGCAATCTAGAATAGAACAGATATGAGAAAGAATTTCCTAAGTATGACACCTCACCTCTCACTCATTTTAAACCTGGGGGCATGGACAAGTCACCCAAAGTTTGAGTGCTGAACTGAAACTATTGTTTTTAACAGTGGAATCCATATCCCTTGGCACACTTAGTCACCTACATGCCAATAGCTTCCTCCTGCAGGTAAGTGTGATTGAGGCTTTCTCCGTGGTTGTATTGACTTTCCAAAGAGCCCTGCTTAACCCAGGCTGAAAGGGAGCTGTGCTAATGGCCCAGCCTCCGTATGCCTCAAAGCACAACTGTGAGGTATATTCTCCACAGCATCTTACATCGTCAAAGGCACTGAGCTTTTGGTTTCCTGGCAACCCCATTATTAAAATAACTCATTGGTCCTGTCACCTCCATGTCTCAGTTCCCTACTCTTTCCCCTAAGAACACTTCTTAAGTAAACCATGTGTACCAAGCCCTTCTCTTGTCCCACACCAAGTACAGAACTTTTGGTTGTTTCTTCAGGGGGCAGGGTAGCTTAAAATCTTTTGTTGCTTTAACAGTTAAGTATGCATTTCCATTCCTAAAATATAAGAAATGAAAAAGGAAGAAAAACATGTCTCAAGGCCTTTTTCAGAATTAAACAATGGAAAAGCCTTCAAATTTGCATAGGCACACATCAAAAAACTGTCTAGAAAAGTTACAGGATCAGATAGCACCAAGTTTGGATGCTTCATGAAGCATGCTTATGTTGACACTTTGGTGTGGGAAGTCCTTCTGTATATATGTTACTTTTATTGGTTAATAAAGAAGCTGTTTTCGGCCAATGGCTTAATAGAATATAGCCAGGCTGGAAAAAATGTAGATAGAGAGAGTAGGCAGAGTCAAGGAGAAGCCATGTAGCTGCCGCCAAAGACAGATAGGCCAGAACTTTGCCTATAAGCCACAGCCACATGGCAATACACAGATTAATAGATATGGGTTAACTTAAGATATAAGTGTTAGCCAGAAATATGCTGAAGCTATTGGCCAAAGAGTATTGCAAATGATATAGTTTCTATATGATTATTTCGGGTCAGGGCAGCCAGGAATGAATAAGCAGCCTCTGCCAACAACAATTTAGTTCAGAGAATTACAAAAATGAATCCTATGATGAGAAATTCTGACTGCCTCTTATAATGAAAATAATCAACCACCAGAATTCTGAAAATCCTTGTAGTGAATCCCAACACAGATTCCAGAGTGAAGCCTACTGCTCGCTTTACGCCCATGGCATTAATGTGACATTATAATGGTAGTTGTTTTTTGTTTGTTCTGTGAGCCAAGCACTGGGCTGTCTCCCTTGAATATCACATGTCCTCTAATTCCGACAGCAGCTTGTGAGGCAAGCTTATTTTGCTATCTACACTTTGCACAAGGCAAGTCTGTGCTGAGAATTTAAGGAGCTTGCCAAGACCACATACTTACTTGCTTTGCAACTGAAATTCAGGCTCTGATGTTTTAACCTTCTGTCTTTCTGAAGAACCATGTGTTCAGTTGATTTCTTTCTTAGTGAAATTTGCCAAATGTGGTTCTTCTCAAAGGTTAGATTTTTATTTTATTAATTATAACTTTTTTTTGTAAAAGTCGTACTTCCGCTTTCTACTTTCTTAGGATTATTTTATTATTTTTCTCGTTTGAGAGTTCAGTTCATTTAATTTCAGCTTGCACTCGAGTCCATGTGTGAGTGTGTGTGTGAGTGTGTGTAAGTGAGTGAGAGTAAGTGTGTGTGAGTGTGTGTGAGTCTGAGTGAGTGTGAGTGTGAGTGTGTGTGTGAGTTGTGTGTGTACTGCGAGTGTGAATGGGTGTAAGTGTGTATGTGAGTGGTGTGAGTCTGAGTAAGTGTGTGTGTGTGTGTGTGTGTATGTGTGAGTGTATGTGGGTGAGTGTGTGCTGGTATGCTGTTAGGGTTTTGTGTTGTCCATTGACTTCTGAGAACCACCTTGGCTTCATTCCACGACTGCTTTTGTTGAGTAATACATGTTTTGTGATTTGCTTGTGTTTCTTCACAAGCTTGCCCTAAGAGCCCATTGAAAATCTATCTGAAAGATTTCAGGTATAGATTTATTTTGTCTTTTTGTTTCAGATTTCCATGGGTATCACATGGTTACCAGTAAATCTATCCTACATAATATCCTCCTTGTCCTCATAGAATATGGGAGGTTCTAGAACTTCCATCTGGATTGGAAGAAATGTTCCGCCTCTATTGTCCACAGACCTTTAATAGGAAAACAAAACTTCCTGTGTTGGCTAATCTTGATTGTCAACTTGACTACAGCTGGAACCAACCAAAATCCCAAGCAGTGGGGAATGCATGTGAGGGAGTTCTTCAGTGGACCGTTTAAGGCAGGAAGACTCACCCTAACTCTGGACCACAAGTTCTGGTGGCAGCCTATATAAAAGGACACAAAAAGAAGGTTTTTGCTTTTTGCCTGCTTGCCCTCACTCTCCCTAGGAAGCTCATCTGCCCCATTGCTGAGGCACTCCTTTATTGGTATTAGGACCCACTTCTTTCAGATGCAATGGAGATGGAAGACCAGCTACTCTCTAGGAATCCTTTTGGATGCCAGCACCAGAGTGCGGACTGCTGTGACTGTCATTCTCATGGACTGAACAACTACCTTTCCACTGGGAGACAGTCATTGTTGGACCACAGTCTCAAAGTCATTCTAATAGAGCCACGTTTGATAATAAGCAAATATACGTTCACTATATCCGTTCTGTTCCTTTAGGTTAGCATACCCCATTAATCATTTGTGTTAAAGACTGGAAGATTAGATAGTGTGGCCCACACTTATAGTTGTAGCACTTGGGAGGCTAAGGCAGGAGGATGACAAGTTTGAGGATTGCCTGGGCGACATAGTATGATACTGTAGAACAAAACCAAAATAGAAAACAAAAATCCAAAATAAAACAGAAGTACAGGAGGTACTTCTTGCCATTAATACAGATCATTAAAATCAATCTTCAAATACATTTTCCAGCATTAGTAATGCCCAGTTTGGTGGTATGTTCAAAATACATCATGTGTGTGTGTGCATGTATATTACATATATGTGCATGTATTATATATATATTGCATTTATAGCTATGCCCTTAATAAAATAATTAGCACCATGTTTTAATGTGGAACTGCCAGCAATGAAAGTAAGAAGAATTAGAGCTAAAATAGTGGTGGTCACATGTCACTAAGCACCACAAGGAAGGAAAGGAAGCTTGATGAGGTCCCTGTGGAATGAATGTAGAAAGTTGGAGTGGAGTTGCCGATGAGGAGGGAAGTAATGTCCGTCTGTAAGTAGTCAGGGTGAGCAACATACATTCATTTGCATTAGGGTAGAAACATGACAGGTAGAATTTGACTACAGAAAATAATTCGGACTCTAATTCGGGAAGAAATTAGCAGATGGGACCAGCATGGTTAGGGTTAATAGTATAAGAAAAGAACTTTGGTTTCTCACAGGAAGTGAGAGTCTCTGTTGTTGAGGTTCAGTGAGTGTGCTAAGGAGGTTCGTTCTTCAGTGATGAGCCAAGGCACTAGAAAAGAGAGAATAGAGTGGCAACAAAGGGGTGGTATAAGCCTGCGGGATATTTGGAAGAAAGAATCAGGAGCACCTGGAGACCAGCTGCACGTGTGGGTTTAGACTAGGAAGGGCTCAGAGGATTCCTGGATCCCAATCCGGGGGAATGAGAAGTGGTATTCAAGCAATAGAAGGGTGGGCCTGAAGAGAGGACCACAGTGTGGTTCTACATATGTTTCAGAGAATTATAAGAGGAGAGGTGTGAATAGCTCCGACTGAATAAGACAGGGGTAGTAGAAGGGTTTCAGAGAAATCTACAGAAGGCAGGAAGAGAGAATTTCCAAGAAGTGTGGGCGTGGGTGTGGGGGGGGTCGTTGTGTGACATGAGGGTGGGAGGGAGTTGTCAAATGTGTCAAATGCTGTAGAAAAACGTGGGCAGGGAGGTTAGCTAAAGCACTTGAGGTATGACCTTAAGGAATCCTGTGTCAATTAGTGTGATGGTGACAGATGACTGGGCAGAGTACGAAGCTTTAGGGGGCAGAAAAGGCAGCAAAGATGAGGAGCTATTGGCCCAAAGGACATGAGCAGTGTCACTTTACCCAGCCACCCTTCCCTTTTCTTTATCTGAAATCTTTAAACAAAGATCTAAGAAGTGGAAGCAGCCTTGGAGAGGAAGGCACTTTGAGGAGTTATGTCTGCCAGGTGCCACAGAAACTAAAACTGTGCTTCAAACTTTCTGGGTGGGACTCACTGATAGGATGGCAGGTGACAGTGGGCAACTGACCACAAGGGGCGGAGTTAGAAAAGAAATGTCATTCTTGACTAAGATGGTTGGAAAATGGGTCATATCCATAGTGAAGGGCACAAAGAAACCAAGATGATCGAACTATGGACAAATGGCTCTGAGTGCTGGGGCAGGGTTAGAAAAACTGGCAGGTTCAGGGGCAAACTCTTCATTGGAGAAGCTGAAAGTGCTCATAACTTTGGGGGACATTTGGGGGGTTTCCATGGTGACCATAAGCCGCTACTCATGCCTCTATAAATTCCTCTCAAAGGTTTGCTTGGAGAACACTATTGCCGCATCACGATCAGGGGAAGGAAAAGCTTCTCGTTTTGATGGGCCTGAGAGTTCAAACTCTTTTTCTTCCAGGTCAAAGTCAGCCCAGGACAGAAACTTCATTAGCTGTCCTTCAGCTCTGAGAAGAATCCCCGGAGGACTCAATATTTATAGCTCGGGATGCATAGAGCTTCTCCAGAGGGAACGCACTGGGTAATTTCAAGTCTCTGAGGCCTTTCTCCTTTCTGTCAGGCCACTAGAACACAGTGAAACTTGTCAGAGACACATGATGATGTGTACTGAGGACAGATATGCCGATCGGAGCAGAGGAGAGCGTGGGTTTATACCAAGTGCATTCGGTAAGTCACTCGTGCTCTTTGGCTTCTGCTTGCCTTCTCTGTAGATCATGGACATAGTACTGGTGTAGAAAAAATAAATTATCTGTGCTTTTTAAACCCAAATTCTCTTCGACTCCAAGAAGAAGATAGTGTCATCAAGAGACGGGGAAATTAAAGCAATATATCTATTTTGGGGGAGGGTCTTTTCCTGCCTCGGGGACATGGGGTCTAGTAACAAATACTACAATCAAAATTCTGACTTAAAAATCATTGGTATAGGACTGGGGTCGCTGCTCAGTTGATAAAGTGCCGGTCTCACAAATGGGTGTGTGTGTGTCTGAGTTTGAGTTTCAGAACCTGCATTAAAAAGGCCAGTCGTGGTGATGCATGCTTATATACCCAAAGCTCTGGAGGTGAAAACAGGTAGATCCCTGGGGCTTGAGGGTCACTCAGCCTGTCTTACTTAGGGATCTGTAAACTATCGGCACCTGAAGAATGACAGTTGGGGATTTCTTCTGCCATCCGTATGTGCATGCACACACATGAACACATACACACACATATACACACACATGCATATGAACAGACATGAAATAATTGGTGCAAAGTACCATCTAAAATTGACTGTAGGATTTCTGCCCCCAAGAAACAGAAAATGCAGATGTAGGCGTGATCAGTCTTCAGATTTCATGGGATGGATGGATCAACGACACTCAGGGTTAGTTCACAGACAGATTGTAAACGCTCCCTTCTCAGGGTCAGATGGCTTTCCATTTGTAGTGTCAGTCCCCCACAGAGTCTGTAAAATACATGCAATCCACTGTAAAATTAAATAACCTTTCTTTTTCTATTTGAGCTAATTAATTGATACTATACTCTAGAAAACTCTATGAGCATTGTGTTGGTGGGGTGTGCATGCCTGTGATCAGAGACCAAATAGATATTGGTTCTCACTTCCCACCTTATTGGAGGCAGGTTCTCTTCATTGTTTGCTGCTGATTAGCGTCCATTAGCTGCAGGGGATGCTCCTGTTTCTACCTCCCTTATTGCCAAAGGAATATCGAGATTACAGGTGTACTATCCACCCAACTTTTACACGGGTTCTGAAACTGAAACTCAAATCTTCATGTTTACACAGCAAACTCTCTACCTATACTGAGGCATCTCTTATCCCCGAGCCAGTAGCTTTTTGATCAAGAGAGTTCAGCCTACAGAGTTAGGAAAAAGTCAGGCCTCACTCTGAAGGGGACTATACCCTCTACACTAGTTGGGGGGGAGAAAGCATGTTCCTGTAAAAAGGATGGTCCCAGGATGGTTTGCAAAAAAGTATGTAAAACAATAGGTCATGAGCTCTATTGCAGAAGAGGTAAGCATCTGATCCAGAGAGGCCCTGGAGTCCTTCCCTTTTCATGGAGACACAGATTAGTCAGAAATAGAACTTACATTCTGTAGGATTCTATCACGAATTAATAGCATCATCAAACACCATGTGAACAGCACATCTGAAAGCTACTTAGCAGAGCCAACCAATATCACAAGTGAGGTTTGATGCTGCCTGTTTGAAAATTGCTCCTTTTAATCATATGCTGGAAGCATCAAAATGTAAGAAAAATAATTTTTGTCTGAAATTAATTAGGATTCTCTATGGTTGGAGGCTTTCTCAATAAAAGAAATGGAAAAATATTTGATGCCACATAAAAGATGATGTGGAATAGGGTTGTATATGGGTATAACGACTGTTTCAACTAATTGATGCTTGAAAACCATCCAAAGCTTTCTTTGGGAACACTTATAATAGGGTCCCATTGGGGAAGAGGATTCCTTTTCTTCCTGAGCTGGCACTATGAAAGCCATTTAGAAGGCAAAAGAGCACACGGAAGCTACAGATTCAAGTTTTTCCAAAGGTTGACTTTTGGGAAGAAAACTGTCTCAAGGCAAACTTGAGCCAGTGGAAGCTCCTAGCATCAGCCTCTTCCAAGATGTCCTTCTGCCGCATCCCGTGTTTACATACATCCCATATCCATCCAACCATCGTGGTCCCATCCTCTGGTATTATTCACTTTTGGCCAAGTCTCAACGTTTTCTGTCAACCTTCTTCCCTACATCACATCCCACCCTCTCAAGACCCTTATCACTGTGAGTTGTGTGTGTTACCATTTTGCTCACCTTCCCTGTTACCTGGGTACCCTGTCCCTTTAAGAGACAAGCTTTGCCCATCCCAAATTTCCCCCCACCCAGGCAAGTTGATATCTCCTTGTCTGTGCTCTCTCTTAGTCTGCCCCTCTTCTGAAGAGGTAACTATTGCCACCTCACTTCCCCCACTCTATTTATCTCTTCACTTCATAATCCCCTCCCCCATTAAATAAACTCTATACCCAAGCTCTCTCTGCATGGTCTATCTCTCTGTCTCTCTCCTGATCACATGATCTCCCACCCAGCAGTCAGGGGACCTGCCATGGTCGCCACGCCATGAATCTTTCTGTGTGTGCTATGTTACTTCTCACTTTATTAACTGAAAAGCAAACCTTCTGCAGAGAACAATGCAAGGTTAAGAGTGGCTCACGGGGAGGAATTACAACTGCTCAACAAGCAGTTCTCTGTGATCACAGCATGCTCAATGTTGGGCTTTAAAGTAGAGTTTTCATGGTCTCATGTTGGAAGCTCTACCACCACCTTCCCAAGAGCTTTTGGGAATGTTGCTTAACCTCTGTGAATAACCATTTATTTTCATTTATGAATGATAAATTGGGATCTGTACTGCTCAGGATTGAAGAGAATAAGAGACAGTGAATGCCACGGGCTCAGTCTTATGCCTAGAACGAAGTAGATGCTTCTTAGAACTAAACTGTGACTGCGTAGGTCACTCGTCCTGCCTATAGACATGCCATTTTTATAAAGTCATCAGATTTGGTTGAAAAGGTAGCAGAGATGAAAATGACTGAAGAGGATGGTGGAGCCCATGTGGTACAAGAGTGAAGGAGGAGTACTAAGGATGGGAATGTATAAGTGGGGATGAGGGAGTGGAGTGGTATGGAGGTCCTTCTGTCTATGTGTTGCTTTTATTGGCTAATGAATAAAGAAACTGCCTTGGCCTGTTGATAGGGCAGAACTTAGGTAGGCAGGGAAAACTGGACAGAATGCTGGGAGAAGAAATGCAGAGAAAGAGAAGCCATGGAGCCACCAGAGACATGCCAAACTTTGCCAGTAAGCCACTGCCATGTGGTGATACACAGATTAATAGAAATGGGTTAAATTCATATGTAAGAGTTAACCAATAAGAAGCTAGAGCTAATGGACCAAGCAGTGATTTAATTAATATAATTTCTGTGTGATTATTTTGGGTCTAAGCTAGGACCAACAAGTGACCCCTCCTCACACTACAGATTAGTGCCCAATGTGGGACTACCCTCCTCCTCCAATGGAGAGATAAGGGGGAGGATGAAAGGGCTAAGCAAGTCAAAGGATGTGCGAAAAAGACATAAGGAAACCTGATATTTTGCAAGCTAAAAGAAAAAGAAATTCAAAGTTTGAAAAAATAACAAAAACAAAAACAAAAAAAAACCTCTAAATCTTGATTGTTTCTCTACCAGTCAATCTCAGGCCCGTACCCTGGCTGTGTTTCCATACCAGTCCAAAAAGATGATCTCAGTACACAAAGATCCCCTAAAACACATGTAGATATTCTTGTCGTCAGAATATCCACTTGCTAGACCTGGATGGAGGTGGGTGGTCCTTGGACTTCCCACAGGGCAGAGAGCCCTGATTGCTTTTTGGGCTGATGAGGGAGGGGGACTTGATTGGGGGAGGGGGAGGGAAAGGGGAGGCGGCGGTGGGGAAGAGACAGAAATCTTTAATAAATAAATAAATAAATTAAAAAAAAGAATATCCACTAGCCCAGGAGTTAGACCCACTATTATTAGTGTGCTCCATCCTAAATTGTCTGATCTAGAATATGTTAGATTTAACTTGAGAATTAAATAAGAAGCTCTTGTGGAAGCCTCTGAAATACACATTTCTATTTAAGTGTTGGCTGTGAGGGATATCATGTCCAGGTCAGCCTCTCATGTGTTGAGGGAAGCTAGATCTTCAAATGTGCCCAACTTCATAAAAGGCCCCAGAAGCAGAGGATCTAGGAGATGCTTGTGTGGGATTGCCTGGGGAGACTTATTTCCAGGAGACTTTCCAGAGTGTTTCCACATCACTGTTATGTAAAGACATTCCCATTTCCTGAAGACGCCTCAAATTCTTCTGAGGAAGTCTTAGGAGGTGAAACATGGAATTTTCCTTCCTTCCTGAGTAACGTAGAAAGCCCGCCATCTCAGATGCTGACCCCTTCATCTAGGGCAATACTTCTTTCCATAGACGTGAAGGTGGGAGGGCTGGGTTTTAAAATAGAGCCTCTCAGCCCTCCGTGGAATGCTCATTATTTTAGCATTTCCCCCTCAGCTTTGGATACTCATCAAGATTCTGGGACAACAGAAGGAACCTTGCCTCATTGTGACACAGCATGATTGCAAGAGGATGGTGATGATGACCCTTGCATTTGCTTCAGCAGAGAAGCTCAGTGATGTAATCTAATTCGTCACCTACCAAACTGCTGACTCAGCACCAGTCAGGGACCAAGATGAGAGGGAGCTCAGTGATGGCACATACCACCGAGATACCTTTAAACATTTCTAAGAAGTCTTTCTTGTTTTATTGTATATTTAGCAGATATTCACTATCTGCTTGAGCTTGGCAGAGGGGCTAAAGAGACATGATGTTATCCAGGGATTCCTTAGAGAAAGCAGGCTTGCAGTGATGAGAACACTGGACCTGATAGAAGGTGTGCGAACTCTGGGTGGAACCTGCAGTACTGCAGGAGTGCAGAGGAAGGAACAGCTACTTCAGAGAGGCAATCTGGAGAAGCGCCATCAAGACGCAGAGGATGAGACGGGTGGAAGGTGGAGCGGGTGGGAAGGGACGACCTGACCTGGACTAATGATGTCACACGGAACTGCATGGAAAGAACTGGAGACAGA